TTTTTCTTCTTAATCCTGACTATTTTTTTTATCCGAACCACATAAACAACTAACATAAATTATAAAAAAAATGCTTTACAGTTTGACACTGATTTGCTATGAATCCTAACTCCAGGATAAGGAAGGACTCATAAATATGACTTTTTTATTTATGTTTTTCTTTACTGAATAATAAATAATAATAATAAAAAAAAAACAAACCCAACACATGGAAACTCAAAAACACTCAAACACAAAGTGGAATGCAGAGGCTAAACTCTCCGGGGGAAATAAGACTGCTGCTGAGCCACAGTCAGGTGGATTTAGTGGGTCAAAAGTTTAAGAAGAGCAATTACCTGAAAGACCTCAGCTGACCCCCCCAAATTTCTCACCTCCTGTTAACACACACACACACACACACAGACACACACAGACACACAAAAACCAACCCTCACTTTCAACAATGACGATTTACAGCCGACAGACGGAGAGGATGAAAAAACAGATCCCATGGCAATTCCAGATGAAGATAGATGGGATAGTGGGGCCGCCGCAGTTATAGTAGTTGTATTAATGATATATATCTTTTTTTTTTTTTTTTTTTTTTTTTTTTTACCATATCACACTTTATTGGATTGTTGGGCTCATGCGGCAAACATGGCGGGGTTTGTTGGACTACCAACTACTAATTTACTGGTCTGCTTGGACTTATTGAACCGCTAGGGCTCATTGCACTTATCAGTCTCTAGACTTGAGTTTTTTTAATTTTTTTTTTATTTAGGTTCATTGGCAACTACAAGCCATTTGTTTGGCTAGGTTGCGTTTGTTGCATTGGTTGAGTTGGTTTGTAACCCTTTTTAACTGAGTTGCGAGGCTTTGTTATTTTGTAGCTCATTGGGCTTGTACTCACAGCCAGCGGTGCAGATAGTAATAAAAAAAAACAAAAAAAAAAAAAAAAACCAACCCTCAGATAATCTTTCATTGTATCACATTCAGAAAAGACAGGCCAATGCTGCCTAATGTGAATCCCAGATGTCAGAGATGGAAGGTAGGGGAACGACTTGAAGGCTGAAGATATATGGAGTTGGAGCAGAGAGGAGGAGGAGGGGAGAGCGCGCGGAGAATGTGGGAGATAATGAAGCACCACAATGAGGAAGAAGGAAAAAGGGAAGATTGAACAATCCTGAAATATTTCACCCAATATTTAGTAAGAGCTAAATCATTTTTAAGACACTGTAAAAGTTTGGGATGAAAAAATCCAAAAATCCTCCTTAAAACTCATCATAAAACTATTCTTTATGAACCCTCTTTGTCTTGCCCCGCATTCTCATCCACTTTAGAAGCGAAGTTCATAATATTGACATTTATATTCTGTAGAAATATATATGTGTATATATATATATATATGTATATGTGTATATATGTGTGTTTAGTATAGACATATATCTTAAGAGACCTTAGATATGTTTATATATGCATGTATATATGTGTGTATATATGTATATATATGAATATATATATCCTATATATTGTCCTATTCAAAATAACTATATATATGTTTATAGTTATGTATGAAGATACCTTATATATGTTTATATGTGAATATATATATCTTATATATTGTCTTATTCTAAAGAACCTAACTAAACATATACAAGGTATCTTCATATATAACTATAAACATATATATGGTATTTTCATATACAGTATATGTTTATAGTTATATATGAAGATACCTTATATATGTTTATATATAGATTTAAGGAGACTTTATATACCTTTATATATGTATGCATATATGAAGCGACTTTATATATATATATGTTTATTTATGTATATATGTATATATGCATATACATACACAGTGCTAAATATGTGGCTGACTCTTTCAATTTTAAAAGTAGTCCTACAGGATTACTAGTCGCTGAACACACTGACACTCGGC